TCTTTCATCGCGGTAGGCCATCGAATTGAGAGTGTTCTACAAGTTACTCGTGTGTCCGGAAGGGTAGACACCAAATTAGCTAATTCAGAATGGATACGGCGTTTTGAAGACTTACAGAATATGCGCGCTGACACCGTTGTCTAACAAACTCAAAGCATACCACTTAGTGGGATTCCTGGATGGAGCCGCACGAAAAACGTCGAGGAGCTAACGACCGTCCAACGAGAAGACTAAGCCTATGCCACTTGCAGGCAAAAACCGGCGAATCTGTTCTAGCGTTCGCAAACAAATTCCTTCGACTTGTTTGCGCAGCAACTCCTGGACAAGACCCCGAAACTCAGAAACAAAGGATGTTGGAAGAGTACGTTTCGCGATTGCATTCCAACTTGCGCCATCACGTTGAACTTGACAACCTCTTCAGTAGGCGAGGCGGTAGATAGAGCCAGGATGGCCGGAACCCATAGCGCCTGATACGCTTGTTTCAGTATCATTCCCACATCTAATGCCGTCGAAATCAAGCAGATGACATCACAATCTACATGGTCCCGCTATAGTAGAGAGCGTTTCAATCTCGAAGCAAATCACCTAACTTTAAAAACGCTCGTTTTCAGCATCGCGGAATCAATCAATAACTCCTTAATGGTCGGCGAAATGGTATTCCTAGTCAATTAAGATGCCACATCTGTGGCGGGATTGGACACATGACATGGCAGCGTCCCTCTTCGGCTCAGCAACCAGTGGATAAAGATTTGTGTTCGCAATTACCTCGTCGTTTTCTCTCTTAGCAAGCTAATTATCGCCCATCTCGTATAATGCAAATTACACGAGATGGGCGATAATTAGCGCGCTAAAAATCGAATCATGTCAAGAACTTTTGGATGCACGAGAACAAATCAAGGCTCTTTCTCTTTCACTAAAGGCTAAGCAATCCGATTTGGAAAATTCCGACGCACGAATCTCAGCGTTCATGAAACGCAATGAGGAACTCGCTAGTTCCACTTTTGGTTCACGTTCGTCGCCTTCTAAGCCTGTTTCGAATCTCCAATG